CGTAGCTTTTGGAGGTAACTGTATGTGGAGGGACAGTAAAAGCAATGATGTGTCCGTTGGGTGGCAGCAGGAGGCAGGGCAAGCGAGGCGAACTTGACCGTGATGACAGCCTCGGATGGTCACTGGTCACCGGAGGTACACTGGAATGACGACGCTGAACCGGACTGATCGAAGGGCGTCCGTCAATGCTCCGCCTCCATTTTCTATCTTTTGAAAACCAGAAACAGAAACAATCACTTTCGTTTAAAAATCCTCGTTCTCTCTGTCTTTCATCTCGCTCTCCGACCATCACAAATTTCGTACAGATTTACGTCGCCCGATGTTCCACCACCTATTCCTCTCCATTCGTTTTCTCCCTACCTGTTTCTTGCCTTCTGCTATATCTTTTTTTGCCGCACACTGCCTTCTCGTCCTCCACCGCCACCGACGGCGTCTGATCTTCATGGATACCTACTCATCCATATTGTACTCTGAATTTCAGATTTGTTCAAGCGTGCACACTCCCTCTCCAAGCCTTTTCTTCTTCTTTGTAAAGTGGCCATCAGAAAGGTGGCAACGTCACTATATACTTGCAGAGTTCCATTCGTCACGCTATTTTCGAAGCCACAAATATGGCTAAGTGAACAGTTTTCTTTCTACCAATGACATATTGTACTGCAAATACTAACTGCTTAAATTACAATGATGCGAAACGGATCAAAAATTTAAAGAGGAGAATGCTGTAGAAGTCTGAAGAGGATACTTTTTTATAAAATTGGTGGTGATATCATTTGGAATGCGAAAAAGATATTGTCATGCGTATGATGGGTATTATATTTCCGAACATCAAATGTGTAGGAAGTTGGAAAGATAATTAAGAGCGATGGAGATATGTTGTTGTGGGAAATGTATTGGTCGATGGGCGAATATGGTGTAATTGAAACAGTTGAAGGATGAAGGCATTAGATAGGTAGTTTACTGCAGGATCTGGATTTCCTGCAAATCATAAATCGTAATCGGAGGGAATGATGTGACTGTATTATGGCTGCCTATGTGGTGTGCAGTAGTGGTGATATTACTGATACCAGTTCTCTTTCTCAAAGCTCGTTCTTTGGTTTATCTGTCCATCAGTGTCATCGGATGAGAAAGAAGCGAAATGTGGATTGAAGGCAAATGTAGTGTTGTCGTCTTTCCAGTTGTCATTATTGCATGAGGAGAGGAAAGAAAATGAAGATTTCTAGTCCATGGTCATCTGGTTGCACTTTGAACTGACACAATGAGTGAGTGGATCCGGGAAAATCGGTACCCAGGGAAGATGCCATCTCGTCGCACCTCCCGTCAAGAGATGAACGAGTAAAGAGAGGAAGGAAGGGGGGGAGGAGGGGGGGGGGGGTAATTAGTTAACAGAAAGACACTCACACCCCCGCATATAATACATCTAGGATCCGGTCTGCATGGACTTCCGTCCCAGTACACCTTGCCCCGCGGCCCTTCTCGGCCTCCAAGTAAACTCCGGATGTGCTTCTGCACCCTTACACTCTACACTCATCTCTGCACATTGAGCAGCACCACAATCCACTCATCTACTTTTCTCCACTTCGCTAATTCTTCAAAAGCTATTCGTTTGTTCCTACTCGCAACATACACCACTACCGGTTCACTCCATTCACTTTTTTCTTCTCACCCTCACACCCCACATTTATCAGTCATAATCCTTGCAACAGCTCATTCATCTATGCACTTTTGCATTTAGAACCACTTATAACCATTATTAATCATGACCCGAAGTACTGGAGATTGTTGCTATCAGCATCACCTACTACAGTAATTTGCCGTATTTAAAATTTAAGTTGTTTTACGAAGGGTAATTTAATTTTTGCATAGTCAACTATTGAGACTTTTCATAATATTCACTTACCACCTTCTTTCCTTCTCTTTTTGCAGTATGAATAGTCTTATCTCATGTTGATAAAGTAACTGCTTGCTAACGATCACTCAAAATAAATTAAGCAACTCTCATTGTCTGATCTGTGTGTCGACTATGATTAAATTTGTCGCAAGTTATCAAATACTTCTCAGTCAAACGTTTAGTTGTCATAACTTATGTATGGACTTATTTAATGTGCCACTTCCAAATTATGCTGAAATCTTATTAATTTGTAAAATTTCCAAAGCAATGAATAAGATTTTAGAATAATTCGTAAATAATTACTGTTAAAAAACAACCCAATGTTTTTTGTGGTGCTCTGATACCTAAAATGAATAATATCTGCCTGAATATACCTGAAAAACAGCTTATGCTCTAATAGTTGAAATCGATAGGAAAAAAAGCGGTTCGCAAATTTTAGTATGCTCCCAATTCATACAGCAATAAAATTGTCCAAACTCCTTCACTTGATCTGAAGTTTTGGTTATTTTTACTGCATAATAGTAGTTTTCAGTATTTACTATGTAGTTCTTCTTTCTACTCCTGAATTATCAGGAAACATGCAAAAATCGTTTAATGCGTTATGAATTCCATCTAACAAGACAATTCCTTTCAGACCAGCCATATTACTATGGCTATTACCATCAGGTTTTGCGAAGCTTAATGAGGAAAAAAGTAGTTACCTAAATCAATCAACAGAACAGCAAGGTATTTTCTTTTAGTAATTAGGCAGCCAGCTGCTTTATAGAAAAGTGGCTTCAGGCCATGTAATGCTAATTTGGCAAATCATTCAACCAGCAACATAAAATTTTTTTGTACCTCTCCTGCAACTATTTAGGGTAAACTGTAATTCTATTTTCATTTTTAGCCAAGTTATTATGCAATTTACTATGCCACAACAATAAACTGAAGAAAACTAGGTACTCCATGCCGATGGGTAGTCCATCTACGAGCGAGCGGTGCTCCAATGATCTCCGATTTAATTTGCTGAAAAAATCATTTTCTTAAAAGTGGGTCGCAACGCTTTATTGCACTTTCGTACCATTAGTGTATTGTTTAAGCAGGCGCAATGATCGTAGGATATATATCAGTCAGTATAGGAAGGTGTTTTTCACTGAGCTGCTGGAATTTCCTCTTTCACAAGAAAGTCCCCTAAACCTGTGTGGCTGTCTAAACAAACATGTGCAACAATGAAAGTCTCTTTTTCAAAACATTTGTGTGCTATCCTGACGGAATATGTACTGCTAAGAGGATTTTTTAATAAATTTTGAGGAAAATTTTTCCTTAAAATATTTCTTTAGAAATAAACGCCGAAAATTTTTTATAACCTGTGACCTACTTATAACCGGGATTTACTTGTTCACACTTTGCTCTTTTCGAGCTGAAAAGTGGCATGATGTCAAAATTCTGGTGAATTGTTCTCTTAGTGTTGACCAAAAGGGAAGATTTAATTTGTAAATTTCAAGAAACTGGAAATCATTTTTCAAAGCAATAGCAGATGATATACTTACTGTGATAGGACCAAAAATTTACACGATGCAAGCATAAGGATCCCTCATTTTTCAGGAGAAAAAGGAAGACGATACGCTGAGAAATGTGCATAGAGATAAACTGAACTTACAATGGAAAAAAAAGAGAAAAACATCTGGCAACAGATGACCTCACAGAGAAATTTTTTTAAAAAATTACTATTTAGTTTGAATGCAGTCAATTCTGATATACTTTCATTTTTCTGTTGCGAAAAAATGCTTCTCACAATTTGTTAAATAAAATGCAGAAATCTTTCGTTCTAAATCTAAAAAATTAGCCCAATCTAAATCATATTCTGTGCATCATTCATTGCTTGACTCGATAAGTGAATTCATTTTGATTCTTAATTTTCTTGGACTTTGGCATTAGGTCATCATCTCATAAATCCTGGATGTGCATAATTTTTATCTGCTTTCAATGAACTAAGACTACTCCTTTAATATGCGGATGATCAAATCCTCATTTGCTTTTTATTTTCCTTATTCCTTCACAATGATTTTTGTCTTACTGAGGACATTTCACGAAACATGTTTCGAGATCCTGTATGGCGTTTTTTTTTCGCCATTAGTCGACTAATGTTTTCATCGAGAATGTGGCAGAGATCATTGTTGTATCATTTTCGTAATGAGATACAATCAAAAGTAGAGTAACTGAGGCGGAAATAGAATTTAGAAAATGGCACTGGTATGAAAAGAGAAATTTTAGGCAAGTAAAGAAGCAGATGTACAGAAACGGGTATTTAAAGTTCTTCGGATGAGCAGTTATTGCACTGAAATTGCATTGAACTGGTTTCCTGATGGCATGTTCAGTTTTTTATCGCTAGCTGAATTCGGGTCATGGGATCAGTGACGGAGCAGCACACTCGCCAGTGGGCATTGTTTTCGCAAAAGTGCTTTTGGGTTTTCTTTACTCCAAACTGATTCTCCTCTTGGGTGCATCAAATTGGCCACTCTACGCTCATTTACATCACTGCTAAACAAAATGAGCTTGTGGAGAACAAACTATGGTGAAATGGTGCGGGATACTTCATTTTTATTACGACCTCAGTTATTCGAAAAAAAAAAAACTTATCTACGAGTGAACCGCTACATCATTTGTTATTTACTCAGTCACCAGCAACATCAAATAAGAAAATTGTCTCGAAATTGCATTTATATGATTTCTTATGATTTTTAAAGTTCTGTACTAACGATATACTTCCATAAATTCAAAATGATATATGATTATAATCAATATAGTGCTCAAAAAAACAGGGAGAAAAAATAATTAATTACTCACAGATCTGACCACTATATGAAACTCTGTTTAAAGCCTTTTTGAAATTGCAAATTCTAAAAGTACTAGAGCACTAAGTGTTTTCAATTCATGCAAGTTAGCACCGCTGAATCAAGGTGAATATAAGGCTTTAAAAATAAGTAACAGTGATATGGCATGATTTAAAGTTCAGTACTCGTTTAGTAAGGGTGAATCGCTGATATACCAAGATTTAACAGGAATGTCGACCACCTTTGTCCAGTGAAAATTTCTGTAGGACTATTTCAGACGAGTAAACCATTGATGATAGTTATATATAAATTGTTGTGAATAAAATGCGGTGTAACATTTCTTTCGTAAACATTGATATGAAAAATAAACCAACCATAGCACAAACTCTGGATGGAAAGTGATTGTTGTTACTTTTGTAAACGACAACTTCTTTGGTACCCATTGACCGTGGCAAGTACTTTTTTCGTAGCGACACATGTCCCTAAAAATCACAACCGAAAAAAAAAGCAGTTTCATCATGCGTTTATTTTTTTGCGATTACCAATTGACGGTTTAAGATCGAAGTGCCTTTGTTCGAAAAAAAAAAAAGAAGCGGATCGATTAGAGCTTTGACACATAGAAGATAATAACTTTAGAAAAGGCACAGATTATGAAGTTAATCTAGAATAAGTAAGCTAAGAATATGTTTGGCATGCGTCCGCATCCTGATGATACTGGTACCTTGCTTGGAACCCAAACGATCTCGTACATATGTTGCTATAAAGAACAGTTTTTACGTTAGAGTATAGGCAGTGATGATGAGAGAGTTTTTGCCTACAATTTTATTGCTGCTTGAAAGAGATTTTTCAACACTTCATGGAAGTCAGGCCTTCCCTAAAGTTTTAGATCTTCTGAGAGTTGAAATAATCTGCGTATCCCTTATAGTTTGTAATCACAATATCCAAACGAAAAAACATAATTTATAAATTGCAATTATACAGAATTTTATAAAATAATGAGCTTTGCCTCTTTCATAACCTTACACAAAATGATGAAGTCTAAGATTTAAAATGATTAATCAATTTGTTGACAGAAATGATTACACTTATATACGTTTAATTTATTGGATCTTTGAAGTAACATGAAATTAATTCCAGTGAAGGAACTTGGAGATCTCAGTGTTGACCATCTTTGAAGTGCAAAATTGAAACCAACAAAGTTAGGATATAGTGCTTGGATTATTAAGAATGTGGTGAAGTACGTGAAGACTATTAAGAATCGGATGAAGTATGTGAGCAAGAATATAAACTAGTAAATCATAAGATGATGTGATAATGAAGCGAAGCTCTGCTCACGAAGTTGGTCTCAGTTAATTTATTTAGTAGGCAAATAACTATAACCAAACCAGTCGCATTGTGGGCAGCAGTAATGGGACGTGAAAGTCCTTTTAAGTATAGAAATAGTTTCAGCTCCTCTTTTCTTAGATCCCATCCTTCAATTGTCTAATTCACTTATAACAATGGCTTTACGACTTTTTCCTTCTTATGCCCACTATTAAGACGAACAGAAATCTGTTGATTCCCATATGCCATTTTTATACTTCACAAATATATGAAAATTATTGAAAATACAACATTAATTAATTAATTTTTGTTCAACATTGTATGAATTATTGTTTTTGAAAATAACAACCGTCGAAAAGGTTGAATTAGAGATCCCTTCAATAAAAACTTAGATGCGCTCAAAACACTTAAATTAGTAAATATTGTTTTCCTTACTTGAAAAAAAAGAAACAAAAAAAACAAAACAAAACAACTTGCCATTTTAAAGTCGTTCGATGAACTGACTGATGAAAATGATGACATTTCCTAAATAATTAAGATCAATGTTGAGTGGTACAAAATAGTAAGTTAGCAAGGGAAGAAGTTGCAAGATAAATTAAATATAACTTAGGAATTCAATGCAGTAATGACCGATAAAAGTTAATTAGACTGAACCACAACTGTTGATGATGTTTAGAATGTATGGTTTTGCAAATATTTGCATATTTCTAGAAACTTAACTTAAAGAAGTGATTCACAATTCAAGATAATGGTATCAAAAGTTGGTGGCATAGAGAAATAGAGGAGATGTGACTGCTAAACAAAGATAAAAAAAATCTTTGAATTTCACATTGTGTTCTTGAGATAGCAAATAAAACTTGCATACGTCTAAGTTTTGTTTTTGTATTCGCTTTGACAGCAAGTTCAGGTTTACGTTATAACGATTATGACTTATTTGATTGTGCTTAATTCTCCATGATCAAGTATCATAAGATTTTGAAGTTTGAAGAATGCTTATGATGAGAATTGCATATATTTGAGCTGCTAAATAACGAAATATCACGCGAGATTAATAGTAACGAATAGTTTAACGAATAGTTACGGTCACATGCTAAATCTGTGATATTGGAATGATATGAATAACAGGAAAAAATCTAGAATTATTTCATGCGGAAAATAATGTTTTATAACTTAGGATTAAAAATGAGAACTGATATGCCGGATTTTCTTTTTTTAAATTAGCTATATTAATTATCAGAAAAAAGTAACTAGTAAGAAATCATTTTTTGGGGACTGGAAATCTAATAGTTTAACTTTTTGTCAGTGGAAACAACAAACATTTGACAGATGACATTTGAAGAAACGATCAGAAAATTTCTTATTGGAGACAAAATACGGCATCTAAAAAAGAATGAATATTTTACGAACAAAATAATGAATTCTGACACAATATCATGTGTTGCAACAAAGAAGGTATATTTGTGCTGAAACAAAACAGTATATGTTTTTATTACATGGAAATAATGTTTTCTGCGTGGTGCACAGGTCCGTAGTGGAATTCAACACTAGAAATTTTCGATGAATAATATTTGTTCCTTAGAAAAGGCAAAAGCTGAAAGGACATTCCTTTTTGGTGATGATATAAACAATACAAATGAAACCACTGAACAAAAATGATTTTATTAATAAAATTATGACCCAATGACATTTGCCAAGTATTTTTTGTAGCATATAAGATCTTTAATCCTTTCAAAAGCAATCTGAATGCATCATTTTTGAATTTTTTGCAAAATTTTCATTTATTTTGCACGACTGGGAAAACTGTGAATAATTAGCATACCAAAGATGAATATATTATAGCATTAACAAATTATTACAATAAAACTGTCAGAAACTGATGATGTCAGTGAGAAAAGTTCATCCGGAAAGCAGCGGGAGAAAAATTGATGGTGTGATGATCGTTAAAATTAGTCTGGAACACTATGTAATTGTTTTATGTACTGGCCAGGTCATTTGGACTGTTAATCCTATTGGGATAAAATTTATCAACAATCCGTCCAAACAATCCTTCTGGGTAATTGTTCGGTAACTCTTCTAACAATATTGAAAACGATAACTTGTTGTCAAAATGAGACTCGACAAAGCACTTCCCCATTTCTCAACTTCCTCCTTAAGTTCCATTCCTTCTATTTTAGAATGTCTTACGAGACAAAGCTTTAATTGCTGCTGCTCATGCATTATGGTCACTTATCAAAAATTTCCGTAAGCCTGGTGAAAAGGTAAGGATATTGCATTTAGCAACCCATAAATGTTTTCACATTCTGGCGCTAACAGCTACATTTAAGTTTTACTTTATATGCTTGGTAAAGAATAAACATGTGACTGGAAACAAATAAAAAAAACAGAAATACTGGAAATGAAATAACAAAAAAACGAAAATTCTGATCAGTCGTTCTGATTTATCAGAATTGTCTAAGCTGCTGAAAGATTTGATTGTTTCCGCAATTTAAAGATGTCGAAAGTAATACAAAGTATTTTTAAACTATAATAATATGCAATTTCTGGGTTAAATACTGAGAATGCGACTTTGGAACGTGATGATGGTTGAATGATGTGGTTCACTGCAAAATTAAGAAAGCAGGGAAAAGCTGAATCAATTATTGTAAGTTAAGCGTTCAAGTACTGCATGGATACTTACATAGTCTAAGTTTTTCTAAAGTCAGTAATTTCATTCCGGTTGTTAACTAATTCCTTTTCGCAGAAGTGACTCCAGTTGATATATGAAATAAGTAAATGAAAGCCCAAATTTTCCGTCGAAATGAATGTATAAAGTGGCACTAACGCTGCTATCATTTAAAACTGAAATTCAACTTCGTGAAATGTATATATGATGTGTTTTGACTGTTTTTATTAGATGGAAATCCCAGTTAGGCATAAGATGAATAGATTATTTGAAATGCTATAGCGTATGCTAACGAGCAGTATTGCAGATCCAGGAAAATGAGGAGCAAGACAATCACCTGCTTAAACAAATAGGAACTATGCGATAGACAAATTTTGTTGTGGTTCATTCGGTCAGAAAAACACAATAAATTTAATTAGAAAGTGACATGAGTGCTCGAAAGCGATTTCATTAGTTGTTTGATTTCGTCCAGATAAACCGAAATTTACATTGTTATAACCAACATGATGCAAAATATTGCATAAAAATGAATTACAGGATGAAATTAAGTCGTGTAGCCGACCACTGTTTGAATGTTATTATTTAAAGAAAAAAATTCTAATCCGATTCAAAGCTTCAATAACATGAATAAATAAATTCTGAAAGCTATTGAATTTGTTTGGATCTGATTAATATTCGTTTTACAAATCGAATGAAGAAAAAATTTTTTTATCATTCAACGTCATCTCCACAAGTATATAATGACTGAATCGATACTGTAATTTGACGAAATGGAATAAATAAATGATACAAATTATATATGATAGAAACTATTTACTAACCATTAAACAAGACTCTGGTCGCATTGAGAACACTAATTTTTCCCGATATTGGATATGGATTTCCTCTTCCAAATAGATCTAAAGTCTGGCAGAAGGAGTTAAATGAGTAATGACACGTATTATTTGACTGATTTCACTTAATGTCAAATTAGTCAACTAATACTATGCTATCACTAATTTTGTTTTTTTCTGTCCTAACATATCGATCATTCCTACTGGTTTTCAAAAGCAGATAACTGCACATGTTGAAGGTGAACATTTTTTCTTTATTCAGCATATTTTCACATTTGTCATTGCTAATGACTGATTTATGTTTTTCTTTGAAAATTGGAGAACAGTTGAAAATCGTTCTGTAGCTTTCACAAATAAAAATTCCTGGCCGAAAAAAAAGAAATCGTTATAACTAATTGAAATGTTTCCGGAAAATTTGTCCAAGCACTAATTAAAAATTCATATTGCTTGTTCCAAAAGATTCAATAACAAACAGTCAGATATTAGATTCTGAAAGCGAACATCTTCAGAAGTTGCATCCAGCAATCTTACGGTTTTAGCATCGGTAACGTAACCATCACATCTAGAATATTCTATGTTCAATAACTTTTTTCTTAAATGAATAAAATGACTACTTTCTTGTAAAAAAATGGAAGTTTTTAGTAATTAGATTTTAATATGAAACAGAAATCACCGCAGGATTCTCCAGACAATCACGTTTATCAGTTATTTTTCGCATGCGAGTTCTGGCCGATTTTTTAGCCAGAATTGAAATGTAACGACACTGTAGACAAGCTTTGTAGAGAATGTCTTTTTTGTTAACAAATCCTGAATTTTCCTTGTTAACAAGCACCTCAGATACTGATTCATGAAATAGGAAAGTTTCTGTAACTGCCTTTTAAAAGTTCATACTACTTTCAGCATTTCCCTTCAAACTGCAAGTCTTTATTCGCAAATGTTTTCCGCAACAGCTTTACAAATGCTTTTTGATATCAATATGAATGATTTTGATATTAACCCTTTTAGAATCCGTTATTTGGAACATGAATATGAGGAAGTCGCGAAGTGCACGATTTATACAAAAAAGAGGAATTAAATAATTTCCTTGGGAATTTGACAAACTTCATAATGAAAAAGAAAGTAATTTTTATTACTTTCCTGAAGGATGCACAAATAAAAGAGAATAGGGAAATTGTCAACTTGCGAATTCAAACGAACTAGTATGGAGAACTCAAGGGTATTCAATCCATAATCCACTTTTTAGCAAAGAAATACTAAGTTTTGTAAAGTTTGGTTTTCAAATTAGTCTCAAGTTAAAAAATCCATCAAATCAAATCTTTCTTGTCTTCTTTTATTTCATTAGTTAATTTATTTTTTGTCGAAATATTCTATAAGAAACGACAAAAAAAATGAATGAAGAAATACAGAATGTGAAAAAAACATTAGAGATAAGTGTTGGTGTCACATCTAATTCATGGTTTACTGATCCTCATATGTATCATTCCAAGCATTTTTCAGTTAGGTGTTTGACAAGCTTGAAAAATGATACAGGCTCGGACAAAATGCTTTACTGGTATCAGTCAACTGCTAAATGATTGCTATTTGCACGCTATCATATGTCACACAATCCTACATCTTTTTTATGGTTCATTCCTCCGGCAAGGAAGATTTTATGGTAGCTAAAATTTTAGATGCCTTCTTGAATCATCAGGTAACAAGGTGGGAAATAGGGACTGGGTAATTTGTTAAATCATTTTTCCTTTCTTTAAATATAATCTGATCACCAGTGAGCCAAACGTTGGATGGAATAGTAACATCAACTCCCCAAATTTTGCTTAGGATACAAAGTAAAAGGGGAAAACTCGATTGGCAAAAGCAGAAATTCCTCCTTGTCTTCGTCGAATTTGCTGTAGAAATAAGTAAGAATTTGTTCAAATCATTATGTCAAGTGTTTAAACACTGTGAAGTTTCGTTTATCTGATAAATTTAACTATTCAAGTCGAAAAGATTATAGAATTGTGTCACTAACAGTAACTATCAATAAATACCTTCAAAATAGAATCGATTGAAAACATGCAAATTGTTTGATTTTTGCTTGAAACCTAAAAGTTTGAGAAAACTGTTACAACAATTTGGAAACACAGATTCCCTTCCAGAAGGATTTCGATAAACTTTTTAAAGGATTCTTCAAGAAAAATTTAAAACTTAGCAATAACATACCAACGGAAAGGTACCTGATTTTTTTCGCATTTAGCTTCAGCTTTCCGAAAAAAAAGAAGCTCAGCATTAAAATATAAATTGAAGAACTCCAGAATCTATACTCCCTTATCTTTTTTTTTCTCTCGATACCTACTATTAGCCAAAACATAGTTACGGGAAAAATTCTTCAACATTTATTTGATATGTTTCGTCTTTTGGGACTCTGTACTATTGATTCGGCCAATACTTTTTTCATAAGTTTCACTCCAATCTTGCGTTAGGCATCTGTGGTGATGCTCTAGAAATTTGTTAAGAAAAAGTGGGGAAACGAGCTACTGTTATTATATATATATATAGCTTCGTTTATATATATATATATATATATA